TTCTCCACGACACACCACACCGTGCCACCTTTTCTGCGCCGCCACTGCCGCTCCGGGAGGCCGCCGCCGCCTCGCGGCTGCGGGGCCGCGGGCCGCGGCTGACCGCCCGCGGGCGCCGTGGAGCGAGGCCAGCAGGCGCTCCGCGGCCTCCATGGTGGATGGCGGCGGGGGGGCCCGAGGAGGAGGAGGAGGAGGAGGAGGAGGAGGAGGCGGAGGAAGAGGAGGAGGAGGAGGAGGAGGAGGAGGAGGAGGACCTTTTTGGACCTTTTGACCAAGCACATGGTCGTGCGGGGAAGGAGGGGGGGGGGAAGGGGGAGAAAAGCGGACCCCGCACGGGGGTGCTTTGGTGCAGGCGGAACCCCACCTCACCGCCACACCCCCGCACCTCCCACTGGCCAACGTGCCCTCCAAGGGAGGGCCTGTTAACCAGCGGAGGCGGGCGGCCCACCCTCCCCACCCACGGGCACAGCCGCACGAGCGTACAGCCTCTCCAGGCCGCCGCGTTCGCGCGCATCGAGGGCAGCTTGCACGGGTTTCGGCACCCCGTCTCTTCGGGGGTACTTGCCCCCCTCGATGCGGCGCAAATTCTCTCGACCTTTGCGGGACATGCCCTCGCATTTCGCCGCAAGGTGGCGTCCGTCGACAGTGGCGTACCTGCCACAGGTGGTGCAGAAACTCATGAGATACCGCTCCCACGGCTGGACGGCATGGGAGGGTGCACATCCCTGCCAGCCGCCAATTCCCCGCCACTCGCCCCCACTCCCAGGGCAGGGAGGCCTCGGCACTGGGTCTTGGCGGCTTCGATGAGCCGAGTCACGGGCACAACAATATCACACTGACTGCACCTCCAGGAGCCCTCGGCTTGCCCGAAGCGGTGGCTGGAGGTCTGCAGCGCGAGCTGCCTCCTCGAAGGGGGGGCTCTTCGCTGCATAGAGGCCCGCGCTCCACTCCATGGGTCCGCCTCCGCAGCCAAGGCCAACGCGCGCCTTGCGCGCGCTCTAACTAGGGTGCCGATCGCATCCCAGTGGTCAGTCTGAGGCTCGCCCCCCGCCACCGACACCGCCCACCCTCTCCCAGCCGCCGCCCCCGCCTCCTCGTCGGCCAGGGCGTTGCCCTGAATTAGGTAAGGATCGATCGGGTCGCTGAGAGAGGTGGCTTCGCCCATGTGGGAGGGGATCCATTTCAGGTTCACCTCCGACGACCGAGCCTGGAAAGCCACTCGAAGTCTAGACCACAACTCTTGATTTGCGCCATTATTATGGAACTGCCGACCTCTCCCCCATGCTTTCATGAGGGGCTCGTGGTCCGTCACGAACAGAAACCGCTAGCTCCGCCCGCGGGACCGTCTGACGCTGACCCCCTACAGGGGTCGAAGAGCCCCACGCCAGCCTCCAGCCCCCTTGGCCGTCAGGCTGCATGGCGATCACCGCAGTGCCACACCTACGTCTACGCGGGCCCGCGCTGCGCCCCCCCCCCCCGCCCCCCCGGTCCGTCTCCGAAAACAACCGCGCGCCCGAAGTTGGGATGCGGCCCAACCTCAGAAATCGGGAGCGGCCCCAGGGACCGACGGTTTTCTTCTGGAAAACCCGTGAGGTGGGTGTAGCTCTTAGGCGGCACTCCTCTAAGCCACAGTACTGGGCAGCTCTCCCATTGCACGTGGGCCTGCTGTCTGGTAAACTCACTCTTCTCGAATTCTGCAAAACCAACATTGCAGGAGCACTCCCACACACGATGGAAAAGGGTCTCTGTGCCCTGCTGGCATCGTGGACATTCTGTGGCTACTTCATATCCTAGCGCCGCCTGTCTTTCTCGGGTGAACTGTCTTCCTGACACAGCCGCATTCTGGAGGCCAATTAGCTCGCACGCTTCCTTTGCAAAAAACTTGCGGACTTCGCGGCTCGCCAAGAGAACGCCCCCTCCCCCGAGCTCCAACCCCTCACCGCCATAATGAGAAGCAGCCTGGGTCCAAAACTGGGGCGCCAAATCCTGGGCCAGGTCTTCAAGCAATTCGGTGAAATCAGCATCCCCCTGCTCGAAACCAGCCTCGCTCGCGCGCGGTAGTCTCCACACCTCACTCTCGTTCTCAGTTGGACGGCGCCACGAGTCAGGGGAGGACGGGATCCACCCAGCCTCGTAAAGTGTTGCGACCGCCGCGCTGACGGGCCCGCGCGCCCTGTTCCACCGAGTTTTGGTAGGCCAGAGCCGAGGGGTAAGATGTTTCCACGCCGCTCGGATACGGTCGTGGAGCTCTGGCGAAGACTTCCAAACTAAACAAAACTCGAGGACCAACTGACGGCGCAGCTCCAGACCCGGGTCTTTGGCCCCTAAGTGCACGGCTAGCACCGTGGCCAGACATCGACCCGAACCCGTTCCAGCGATAGCCTGGCCAACCTGTCGCCTAAAGTTCCGAATCTGACTCGGGCTCACGCCGTGCACTTGGTGCCCGTACACCGCTTGGGGAAGGGCCCCTGTGGTCCAAAGCGACTGCGCTATCTTCGATAATTTAGCCGAACGTCTCAGCTTCCTGATGCTACGGAACCTCTTGGTGGCCTTGGCAAGCCAACTCTTAGCTCGTGTGAGAAGCTTAGCTTTTCCTACAGTGGCGTCGCACCCTAAATCGACTGCTGACGTCTCGGCTGAATGTGGGACCTTTGCTGCCTTCAACAACTGACTTATCCTAGCTCGGACGTGAGACGATGAGGCCAAGACCGTGGTCTTATCCGAGATGACAAGCCGAACATCTCGCATACCTTCAGTCAACACTCCCGCCGAGGCTGCCAAGGAAATCGCTACACTCTCTGCAGTGCCTTCGGCCCTCGAGACCGCATCGTCGATAAAAGACCACGACCTACAAACCTTGACCTGCCGATGGGCACGGTCCAAAATCGGAAACAGAAGCAGTTTCGCGAGAGGCACCCCCAGGCAGGACCCAGCGACGAGGGAGCGCGTGGGGTAAATAGCTCCACTAGCTCCTCCTTGGCTCCTCAAAAACCTGGGCGCTAAATAAACCTGGGACTCTAGTGCTACAACCAGGGCAGGGAACCCGACATCTGACGCCGTTTTGATTAGCATCACCAGGCTCAGCGAATCATTAAACTTTTCTATATATAACAGAAATGTCGCTACCTGGGCTCCTGCTAGCACTGCTGTCTCATCAAGCAAGCTGCGCAACAATGCAGCTCGCAACGCTGAGTTGCCTTTGATAGCCGTGTCCCAGAACTGGTCAAGGCCTGAGCTCCAAGCCTCGACCAGCCCCGATCTCACTCGGCTCAAAAGCGTTATAACATTCGAGAGCATGCCGATAGTTCGGTCGCCTCGTTGATTTGGTTTGGGCAAGAGAGCAGAAATCGTAGCAAAAATCTGTTCTGGCCACACTCCTTCACATTCGACGAGATTTAGAAGGGCGGCCAATTCTTCAACTCCCTGCTCTGGCAAGCGCTGCACATCGGCCACTCGGAGAACGTCTATGCCTGGGGCTTTCTTGGCGGGGGCCCGATGCCAGAGAGAGGGGAGGTGGGAGGCCTCGATGAGGTCCAAGGGGCCCCCGCCAGCCCGTCTGAGCGCTCCCGAGATGGCCTCTTGCAGGGCTGCTGGGGTATCTACAGGATCCGTCCACCTCTGCTGCCACGCAGCCTGCTTCTCGGCCATGGTGGCCGTGGGATCCGAAACGACCTTCCCTGGGTAAAGCGATTCCAGGGGGGACAGGTGGGTCTTGCTTAACGTGTCGGTGAAGGATGCCTGGCTTCTTTTTCCACTGGTCCTTCGCCCAGCACTCCAAGGCACGGCGAGACGAGGCAATCCCTCGAGCGTGCGCGCAAGCTGCGAGTCTATCCGCAGCCTCGGCAAGTGCTGGAAGATCGGCTTCACTCTGGAGGCCGAGATCATATAAACACGCGATCGTCGTGCCGCCAAGCTCCTGCATGTCTTTGCATATAAATTCAGACATGCCTTGCCCGTCGAGCTGCTCACATTGCTTACGCAGCTTGCTCATGCACTGCCCTAGTTGTCTCTCATCTTTGCCTGAGATCCGTAGGGCAACATATCTCTTGAGGAGCGTGGTGGAAATCGCCCACCATTCAGCGGGGCCGTTTACCAAGTGGGCTCGGCCTGGTGAGGCCCTCGCTTTCTGCCAGAATAAGGAAAAGCCCTGGGCCCGTCCCTGGAACGGCCCCCATTCCTCCTTCTCAACTCTGGACGCCGTCAGAATGGACACCTCCACTCTTGCGACCCAGCGAGCGTCACAATCGTTGACTCGCTGCGTCGCCCCGGGCCGCGACGCGTGCAGAAAGCGGCGAGCAACTCCATTGCCCTCCAACTCCAGGCCAGCTGGCGGCACGGCAAAGGAAGGCGGCTCGCCTACAAGCAAGCTAGCCTGCGTCCACCCCTCAGTGGAGACACAGTACTCGACTCCGTCCTCCTGAGGTGCACTCGGCGCTGGTGGAGGATGGGCCAGATCAAAAGCCTCCCGCAGCTCTGGAGCCACTCTGCCGCGCCGAGCTAGCCGTGCTTCTTCTCGACGTAGTGAGCTCTTGCTCGTGGGGTCGGCTTCCTTCTTGGGCCTATCCACTTGCGGTAGCTCCTTGGGCAGGCGCAACTTCCTATGCCAAACCGGCTGCTCGGACCTCTCAAACGCGACCGCGATGTCGCAAAGGGTCTTCCATGGCACTGCGAGCACTGGGGTAAGGGTCACCCTGTCCTTCAGGCCCTCGCTGACGATCGCGAAATCGATCATGGAGCCCTGCCCTTTGTCGCATGTGATTGCACAGGGCGGGGTCAGCACCACCCCTCGAAGGAACTCCTGGATGCGGGCCTGCGCGATCTGCGATGGGGAATGGTTCCAGTCGCCCATGATCACGCACGGGCCCGCCAAGCTCCTCACGAAAGAGACGAGTGCCCTCAGCGTCTTATCGTTGGGCCCTCTGGTGAGCCCGAACTTGGGAGCGAGGTAGGTACATATCATAACCACATTGCCACCATTCATGTGCCAGACGAGGGCCGAGAAACCGTGAAAGGGGCTAGCTGCCCCGCTAGCGCGGTACTTGGTGAGGTACTCGAAAGAGGAGGTCGCCACATGGGTACGTGCCAGGATGGCCTCTCCTGCTGATGTGCCTGTCACTCATCGCCCACTCGCCCTGGCTGGCGTGGCG